AGATCTCACATTCAGTACACTTAAGCTTCGTAACATATTGGGAGGTCTAATGAGGCTCAAGGGAGGGCAGAATTTCTGTCAATAATAGATTAAAATATCATTTTGGCATTAATAACAGAAAGCTTCAAGTTATAACCAGTTTCGCTATCAGTCCAAACTGGTACACCTCAACGTTATTCATCTTGCTTAAAACAACGAAAAAAAATTATATTTATACTGAAGGTTTTTACGTGTTATCTACCATTCATAAATATAAGATCAACAATACTTTTTTTAGGATATGAAGACCGAGATGTTGTGGCCCATGGTATGGTCGCAGTCTACTTTCGACTTATAGAAGATAATTGACCTCGTTTTTCAAACTTGGTCTTGTTGTTAGGGCGACTTAGTAGAACGCACTTTGTCTGAAGTCCTCTGCCATAGCAGGTACCATAATTGCCAACAGCAGGCCGTGGACTTGGTACATTTCCAGACATTGTACCAGCATCTTAGTCGGCATCATCAATGAATGCTGCCATTCTCCGAACCAAGCTACAAACTCGTCAAAGAGACAAGTGAAGTCGATAGCTCGACCAACGTTTTGCCGAAAACGGTTGCACTACCATTCCTCTTTTTGTCCTGGCCCATCTCTCAACTCCTTACCCTCTTATACAACTTCCACCCTATCATAGCTTATGACTTGTTTACATCCTTCTTGTCAGAATGTGTGCCCTTTATTGGCAAGTTTAGTGTGGCCTCATCACTCCTACTATTCACCCTGACTCCCTCTTTTTCGATCGACTGACTCGACTAAGGGACTCCTATCCTGATAACCTTCAATGTCCTGTATATCCGATTCTTATATTTCTGATGAGTCGGTTTCACTCGGTTCCAGTCCCAGTGTGCGCTTTACTCCAGGCGCTATTTCTCAAGGCCCTAGAAGCACGTAGACTGCCGCCTCACCGAGCCGAGTGCCTCGCCTCTGATTGTCATGCTTGCAGATATCAGACATTGCCTTCACGGGTCGTCTCCTCGATTAAACCTGTGTTACCTGAGCAAACTGTAGTCGTCTTCACCATCTTAAGTGGATTTCTAGTACATTTTGGCCATAATGCCGAATTTCTGTGATGGTTGTGCTTATCTGTCTTCCTAGTTCCTTGACTTACAGACCCCCAAATTAGTACTTGTTTCTTCGAACAGACTTCATCACTGAGAACGTCTTCGCTTGATTCCCAAAATTTCCCGTACCTTTCTTTTCTCAACGTTCTCCCTTCTTCTCCAGTTAGCGAAAGATCCTTGATCCAAGCACCTCCTTCTTGATGGCCTTGATGTATTCTTGTTTTTACCGAGTTTGTGCAAGAAGTAGACAAATTTGTCACTAGCTCTACCTTTCTCAAATCTCCTGTTCATTAGATCTTTTCCCCAAGGATACCAATGGCCTCCTTAATCTTCTGCTTCCTTATGATTTTGCTATATGAAGCCTACCTTGAGACAGGGAGATAGCCTACGGATTATACGGGGCAAGAGGGAGACTATGATAAGACCTAATGAAAGGGGACTGCGTAACAATATTGCAGACTCTGATCAAAATTCTCAGCACAAGGGTGAAGGGGGGTGAAAAAACTAGCGTGGAGTGCGGAAGGCTCTTATGAAAGCCGCACAAACGACACATCACACTACATTTAAATAAGCAAGAAAAAAAGAAAAAATTATGATAGTGAAGAAGTGATACGAGGATATAGGAGAGATGAATAGCCCAGGACAGGAGAGGTATCACAACTGTTTATCACACATTTTGTCAAAGGATCGTCTTTACTTGTCTCTTTATGAGTTGTAGGGTGGTGCTAAGAATGGAAAGACTCACTGATGATACCGACGAAACGTCTGAGAATGTACCACGACCAGGGTCCGACTTTGGAAATTATAATGCATACAATCGACTCCGGACTAGATTCGTTCCTCTAAGTTTTCCTAACAATATGACCAAACTGCAAAGACAAGGTCAAACAACTTCTATACAACGAAAGGAGACTGAGATCACACAAAAGGCCATGCGATCTTGATCTTCATATATTGTATTTTTATGTTGTTGGTTCGACTTTGCTTTCGCAACTTGGTCGGAGCGTCAGGGAAACCTTGTGTGGCGTACCTAGTCCCGTGTCCTCTGCCATAACATTCGTGATTTCCAGGATTGGACCATTGGCTGGGTACATACTCAAATGTTTCACCGGCATCGTAGTCAGTATCGTCACTGAGAGGCGCCATTGTAGGCACCGAATTACGACTTATCAAAGTGACAAGCAAAAGCAATCCCCTGGACCAATTTTCTGTTCAACCGTTTGAGCACCACTCCTCGCCCCTATTTTATGTTATACTCTCTAGTGTAGCATCTCTTTCTCTCAACTTCACTTATATGGACCATCCACTTATTCACACAGGTACCAAATAAAAAAATTAACTTGAGATGGCTATGATGTGATGTTCAGTTTCTGCTTTAATAACGAGGCGTGCTATGCGAGATTAAATATACTTAATAAAATAGCAGTTTTAATTATGGGATAACTATAATTCAAAAATAAATATTAATTTGTAGCTATTGTACCTAGATCTATAGGTCTAGATTAGTGGGCTCTACAACTTTTGCTTACCGCTTGTTGTTCTTTGTTGCTACAACCATCATCGGGGTGTGATCTATTTGGTCTGTTGCTTCAATAATTGCCTTTGAAAGGTAATGCTGACTTAATTATACGATCAAAGTTGTATTTATCGACAGCCTTACTTATATACATTGTTATTAGTTTTGAGACTATCTGTAGATCTTAAATATTTAATGTTTTCCCCCATAGTTGATAAGGCAGCATTACTCTTCTGGCCTGAACTAAGGCCAAAGATCCTGTAATTATATTCAGATAGCTAATCGATCTCCTTTAACTGGAATTTTCCCACAAAAACGAATCAAATACAAAAGATTATTGATGCATATCAGGTTTATAGAGAATAATCAAATTCTTACTTTTCTGTAAAATCATTGCTGACTTAGTTAAATGCAAAAAGGATTACGTTGTATGGCAAGTCATGGCTGCCTTGCATGATGTCTGAAAGTTGATATAATGAAAATAATTAAAAAAATTAGAATTTGGTAGCATGCCCTTATTAATTGAAAGTCTGAAGCTGAGCATAGTATAATAAGCAAAGCGAATTGAAGCATGTGTTTGCCTTCTCGCTATCTATCCATCGTAAACGCCAGTCCGGTACGAGGTAACATGCAAAGAAGTATGATTATGTACTAAAATATGCCTTTGGTAGGGCCTCGTATAGTTAAAATTCTGAATATTTTACTCTGGTCCTTAATCGCTTTGATTTGATGTATTTAAGTAGGCCATTCGCCTACAAAGACGATGCCGACCAATTCTGGCACAATATTTATAATCTTCTTTGGTAAAAAATATGACTTTTGTTTAGTTTGGTTCTAAGAGAATGTCTGCACTATTCCATACTTATAAAAAGTGGCTGCCATGCTGGTTCTCTATCGAGGCAGATGCCGTACTAAACTCAAGTTTATATAATATGATCAATTTGATCAAACTAAAGCTGCATAATACGGTTCGAAACGGGGTAACTTACCATTTATCTAGAGGCTAGAAGACCTCTGGCAGTCGATAGCTCCTCCTAGCTAGTCGCTTTGGCAGCATAATTTTAGACAAGTATAAGAATTGAAATGGGGTCAGTCACCAATTCACAGAGCAGATTTGAAAAGGAAGCAAACTCATGTAGACAATAGCCTTTGAAATAAACAGGAGTCTTTAATTTCCTAAGCTTTAGAATTTGAATGAGAAATTACGCATCCTAGGTTGCTGAATGTGATATAAAGATAGATGGCGGGGCTTTCTTTACAGTTATATAAGTGTCTCGCGGTGTCACTATATTTAATCTAGCCTTGTCTCCCTAAGCCTTTTGCATTCAATCTGTACTACATTATAATCATCGTCTACAAGAGGATTTAAAACTTGGCTTTAAGAATCATTGCTGCATGCTGTCATTCCACAGTTCAGAAGTCAGCTGTCGCTTTTAAGTCAAACCAGGTCTCTTCCAAATCTCATTAATAACGTTGCTGCAAATGATACAAATATTTATGTGATATAAAAGTCAACGTTATTACTTATTTTAAATGT